TATAATATTATTATGGGTACGCATATAATAGTAGTGCGTTCCACTCTCTCGTCGGATTCCGTCGATTCGTTTTAATTTTTAAACGGCATAAATATTATATATTTTATTTATTGGAGTACTATGGTTACATACCCATACGCGTATAATGTACCGCCAAAATATAACCGAACAATAATAATATCAAACAACACTCGAGTGTCTACAGCCGAAAGCCTATCCAAATCATAGGCGTGCGCAGACTTAAATTTTTGGTCGAGCCTAGACAAATTATAGTGCCCTTTTTTTTTTAATTCACCAACATACCATGTTGATGTATTAACCTGTTAATGTCTATAGTACTATAGTTATTGTATTTGTATAAAGGTTTAATGTTTTTTTTTTAGATTAATAAAATGTATGTAGTGGTTGGTTAGGTAGGTGCACACAAATATTTTTGATTTTTTTATACTTTCACGACAAACAACATTTTCATGATCTCCACGAACATATTATTATAATGTAAACATTATATTAAAATATTTAAATATACACGCACATTTTACTATGCCCCTAAAAAGTTTCAGGTCGAGCCTGGGCTTGACCGGCTAGCCCCGTGCGCACGCCTATGCTCCAAATATTTATATTCTATATAGGTACTGCAAGGTGTAACGGTTATGTAACTGACTTTTGGAAGAACTTTTGTTCTAATCAATATTTAAAATTTTTTTTTATATACATAATTTATAGTCACTTGCGCTAGAGTGCCTATAATATACAAACAATTATTTTTATTTTTTAACACTGAACATTTTAAATTTGTTTTAATTTTTTTTTTGGATGTATTCAATATAGCCAATTTGTGAATCTGATTATAAGAACAATTTTACAGTAAAAACATTTCTCTAAGTCTAAGAGTATATATTTTAAAATATCAATATTTTTTTGATTAAATGAATTTGGTGGAACGTAAAATATTTTTTTTTTTGGTAATATGCTGACATGAGTATATTTCTTAAACTATTTACTAATCATATAATTTTAACAATTTTTGTCAAACGTTTAAGTACTATAGTTTTTTTTTGTCAAGTCTTTCTGTTACACTTCGTAAGGTCTTTTAGACCACGTCATAATAATATCATGTTTATGATAATAATATATCAGTTTAATTTTAATTTCACAGATATACATAAATTTAAATGTATAACATTATGATAATAATATATTATGGAACGATGATGATGTCTCCAAAGACTAAGCTTGTGAGGTGAGGGGACACAGAGTTCTATGCCTGCGCATATATTATACCAAATAATAATTTATTTAACCTGTTAAAAAAATAATAATATACAATGCATGAATAAAACTAAACATAAAAATGTCCATTTGTATTATACAGTCAAAACACAAAAATAATTTCTAAAATGTATTATATAGCTATAAGATAATACAACAATAATATTTTTATTGTAATATTATATTGTTTTATAATCTTATTTATTTAATCTTATTTATTTATAATACTACGTATTAATATTAGGATTTTTTTTGTTTTTTTGGTGGTAGGTACATATAATATAGGTAGATGTATATTATTATAGGTAACTTACATGCCAACCTTAGGTGTACCGCTAGAAATTAAATACAACAAACAATTATGTCAAAAGTAATTTAATTTTTCTAATCGGGAAAATACTATTAAATTGACGTTTTTTTCGAGTACCTACCTATTGTATTATACAATAGGTATGGGTATATTGTAATATTATATTATATTGATATTTCAAACGTCTAAGACATAAATAATAATTGATTAAAAAATATACTTTTTTTTTTTATATATATTTTTAAGGTTAAAAAACCGACGGTCGTTGATTAATTTAATTTTAGAAACCACTCACATTTAAAATAATTAATTACTTAATTAATTAATTGATATCTATAATGAAAACACCCCTGAAGAAATTATGCCAATAATCAGAACCCGCCGAGTAGATCGACTAGACATAATAACCGCCATGAATTTCGTCATACAATTTAAGCACCCAATAATCGCCATTACTTATTAATTATTGCGTACATTATATTACGATATTATTGCTATAAAATTGATTATTATTAGAGACCAGTGGACCATGCAAATTAATCGTGTACCTATCTAATATTATTATAATTTATAAATTATAACTATTGGTCGGTGTGTTGTTATTGGAGTTAACAGATGGCTCCATGGAAAAACATTTTTGCAAACCGTTTATCGGCAAACGAATTTGATTTTTTATGTTATTCGCACGAAAACCTCATCGAGGGGAGAAAACGGGAAATCGCTCTGCTGCATAGTAGGTTTCCTGCCTCGTCGATGAGATATGAGTAGGTCAGTGTAATGATGTATTATTATGATAGAACATCACGTATGTTTGTTAGTAACCAAAATATTAACTTAAAAGTCAATACCGACGTATCGTATAATATGACTTGTAGAATACAGTGTGAATAAGGTTTTGGTATAAATATATAGTTAAAAACGTTTTGAAAATTGTACATAAAAAACATTAAGTCAAAAAGTTTCAAAATTATACAATTGATATTTTTTGAATTACAACGCAATAACTGAAATCAATGATTATTTTTTGTCAAAATTGGAACAGATGTCTTGAAAAAAAATTGTATCCGTGCATTTTCGATATATTTTTGAAATTGCTATACAAGTACCTACATACAACTACAACTCGTGATGAACCTATATGGCTGTATAGTATTAGGTATTTAAATAAAATCGAAATCGTTATGAATTTTGAATTTACAAAAACCATTTCCCTCGTCTGGTCGCTTTTCACGAGAAATTATCGGTACGGATGCGGCAAAGTCCTGCAAAGTTTCAAAATTATACAATCGATATTTTTTGAATTACAACGCAATAACTGAAATCAATGATTATTTTTTGTCAAAATCGGAACAGTTGTCTTGAAAAAAAATGGTATCCGTGCATTTTCGATATATTTTTTAAATTATTGCTATACAAGTACCTATACAATATAACGACTCGTGATGGACCTATAGTACCTACCTATTAGGTACAATCGAAATACAATCGAATTTTAAATTGCAAAAACGAAAAACCCTTTGGAGGTGTCTGCAGATGTGGTAGGAATCTAAAAAAAACCATTTCCCTCGTTTGGTCGCTTTTCACGAGAATTTATCGGTACGGATGCGGCAAAGTCCTGCAAAGTTTCAAAATTATATACAATTGATATTTTTTGAATTACAACGCAATAACTGAAAACAATGATTATTTTTTGTCAAAATCGGAACAGTTGTCTTGAAAAAAAAAATTGTGTAAGTGCATTTTCGATATATTTTTGAAATTGCTATACAAGTACCTATATACAACTATAACTCGTGATGAACCTATATGGCTGTATAGTATTAGGTATTTAAATAAAATCGAAATTGTTATGAATTTTGAATTTGTAAAAACCATTTCCCCCGTATGGTCGCTTTTCACGAGAAATTATCGGTACGGATGCGGCAAAGTCCTGCAAAGTTTCAAAATTATACAATTGATATTTTTTGAATTACAACGCAATAACTGAAATCAATGATTATTTTTTGTCAAAATCGGAACAGTTGTCTTGAAAAAAAGATGGTATCCGTGTATTTTCGATATATTTTTTAAATTATTGCTATACAAGTACCTATACAATATAACGACTCGTGATGGACCTATAGTACCTACCTATTAGGTATTTAAATACAATCGAAATACAATCGAATTTTAAATTGCAAAAACGAAAAACCCTTTGGAGGTGTCTGCAGATGTGGTAGGAATCTAAAAAAAACCATTTCCCTCGTTTGGTCGTTTTTCACGAGAATTTATCGGTACGGATGCGGCAAAGTCCTGCAAAGTTTCAAAATTATATACAATTGATATTTTTTGAATTACAACGCAATAACTGAAATCAACGATTATTTTTTGTCAAAATCGGAACAGTAGTCTTGAAAAAAAAAATTGTGTCCGTGCATTTTCGATATATTTTTGAAATTGCTATACAAGTACTATATACAACTATAACTCGTGATGAACCTATATGGCTGTATAGTATTAGGTATTTAAATAAAATCGAAATTGTTATGAATTTTGAATTTGCAAAAAACCATTTCCCTCGTCTGGTCGCTTTTCACGAGAAATTATCGGTACGGATGCGGCAAAGTCCTGCAAAGTTTCAAAATTATACAATTGATATTTTTTGAATTACAACGCAATAACTGAAATCAATGATTATTTTTTGTCAAAATCGGAACAGATGTCTTGAAAAAAAATTGTATCCGTGCATTTTCGATATATTTTTGAAATTGCCATACAAGTACCTATACAATATAACGACTCGTGATGGACCTATAGTACCTACCTAAATACAATCGAAATTGTTATGAATTTTAAATTGCAAAAACGAAAAACCCTTTGGAGGTGTCTGCAGATGTGGTAGGAATCTAAAAAAAACCATTTCCCTTGTTTGGTCGCTTTTCACGAGAATTTATCGGTACGGATGCGGCAAAGTCCTGCAAAGTTTCAAAATTATACAATTGATATTTTTTGAATTACAACGCAATAACTGAAATCAATGATTATTTTTTGTCAAAATCGGAACAGTAGTCTTGAAAAAAAAAATTGTGTCCGTGCATTTTCGATATATTTTTGAAATTGCTGTACAAGTACCTATGTACAACTACAACTCGTGATGAACCTATATGGCTGTATAGTATTAGGTATTTAAATAAAATCGAAATTTTTATGAATTTTGAATTTGCAAAAACCATTTCCCTCGTCTGGTCGCTTTTCACGAGAAAAGATACGAGTACGAATGTGGCAAAGGCCTGCAAAGGCTGGTTCGAACATGTCGTTCATCCTTGCCGGATCTGCGCAACAAAAAAAATTTACCTTCACAACAACCATTCTGGAACACGGCAGTGACGTGTGACTGCAAGTCGTTGCACGTCCGCGGCCTCGGCGGGGGACCGCCGCCATGCCCGGGCGGTGCACAGCTGTTGTCTGCGGGAGTACCGCGCGCACCACGAGCACCGCCACCGCGGCCGACGAGCGCGTAGAGCACGACAGTTGTTGTTGTATCGCTGCCGTCGTCCGGTGTTCAGTCTCGTCACGTCAGCCGCACGCTCGACACGCGCCGCGTCCGTCCGCTCCTCTCGCTCGCCGTATCGTTGTTATTATCGCTGCGTCGCGCTCCGCGTATCGCCATCGCTCCTCGTCTCGCGCCGTCCACGAGTTTTCCGACATGGGCCGAAGCCTTGCGCTGTGGACGAAGACGCTGAGTTTCCCGTCCCGGAACTCGCCCAACAAGTCGTCCAAGCACAGCATCACCACGTCCATCAACACGTCGTCGTGCACCATTTTCGCGCCGGCCACGACGCCCACCAAAGACAACATCACGCCCGCGTCCACTCCAGACGTAAGTCCGTAGTAACTCCCGAAAAATGTTTAGGTGTTCTATTATGATTATGATTTGTCGAAAATCAGTTTTTAATTCTCCCCCCCCCCCAAGAAAAAATTTTCGGATACGCCATTGGTGTAGCTTATGAATATATAGAGAGACAGAGCTGGTTAATCGGGAGTCTAAATCTGAATTTTTTTTTTGTCTTATATTTTTTTTGCGCGTTGAAAAAATTCGTCCGACGTTAAATTTCAAATTATTCAAATTGTCCGGGCCAGCTAATTTTATCACTGTTTGATTATTTATTTAAATATTTAACATAGGAAATTGCACCGATGCGCGCGCGGTACCTACACCTACCGTTTTTTCGTCATTCATTCGTGCCGATTGGAATTTACGACCATTTATATTACTTTTTTATTATTTTATTAACTATACCGGATGGTGGTAACCGTTTCCGTACCTGCATCGATCGTCAATATATTTGTCAACTGCGTATAATATTACGTGATTCGATAAAGCATATTATTATGATTTGTGGTCGCACAGATTAACAATACTTTTTTTGATATTTTTCCTAAATTTGGAAACCAAAACGCAGACATTTTTTTTTTTTTCGTAATATTTAGAATCACATGTTTGAAATTCGCGCGTGTTCGAGGGGTAAGAAATATAGTCTTATAATATCATATTATATATAGTACCTATAATAATATCGCAGTGACCGCTGTTTTCGTCGTGATAATATATCTTGTAGGCAAAGTATATAGTAATTGTTATTAAAATGAATTAACCCAGAATATTATATACAATGAAAATAGATATAGGCACGTTCTATTATATGATAATTTTTTTGTCAAGTGTTTGTGTTATTATATGGTGCGAGAGGTGCAGAGGTTTGATAAGTTTTCGAAGGTCTATTCGGAATATTATGCAGTGTTGTGAATTCTGTGCAGTCTGTATAATAGTTAGGTACACGCATAGTATACTCACGCAGGATTCAGTCAAGGAGTAAATACAGTGAATATGCATAAAAAGCGTAGGCGCTTATAAAATAAATAATTTAAAGAATATAATATGAACCGAATGAGTATATAATATAGAAATCCGTTTTGTCATACACGTCTTACGAATATATAAATATTGTCGTCGTCGTCGTTCGTGTAAAACGATGATTGCGTAATATTTTGAACAGACAGTGTTCGGACAAAATCGAATATCCGGTCAACGGGACGAGATGATTTTTAACAATATTATTATATTATTATGTCTGGGAAACGGTTACAAACAATCGCAGTGTAATAATGCAATCGTATATTGTATATTATATTATTTAATCATAATATCCGCCTAAAACCGTATTTGCACAACAATAGAAGTTAGGTATAATTATTATTATTCCGTAAAAGGTTTATTTGAACAAACACGGTTGTAGACGAAAACTTACCAAAATCCATAAAGTATAAATAATAACAATATAACGCGCTCGCGTTTAAGTTTCATTAGTTTCATAATGATATTATATAGGTATACCATAAATATATCATGTACCCGGTAATTGGTATAATATTATGGGTCGCTGTAAATTGCGGCCAGGGTATAATTTGTATTAGGTACCTACCCAAATATTTTTTATTTATAAGTAATAATTACGTCTAAGCCTTTTTTTGCAAAATCAATATTTTCCTTCTCATTTTTCACACTCGGGACTGTCAATATATTTGTATCAATATTGGTTTTGCTGTTTTTTGTTTTTAATTAAAAAATATATTATTAGCAATTAGTAATAATGTGTCTGGAAAAATGTGTATGGTTAAAAAATGTATTATTAAATTAATTTGTTATAAAACATTTGTAATTAAGAAACTGGCAAAAATTTGTAAGACAATTCTCGCACATAGTCTAACGTAGTAATTTTTTTTGCTTGCAATTCATATACATTTTGTCGTGTATAAATGCTTCCCAGGCCGCAATTTACTTAATATATTATAACTATGACCTTTTTTGGGGGATCCAATTTACCGGCTCCGAATATTATGTGTATTGTGTATTACTCGATTGTATAATATTGTAATAGTGTCATACGGCCTACGAGACGGCGGCAATAATAATAATAATTGTCCGTCGCAACACAACATTATAATATTACCATACGATATTGTCGACCCTCGACCGTGTCCTTTAGGAACTATATTATTATATAAATATAATATTACAATATTATCATAAACGGAGGGCTACCCATCGTCGTCGGTAATATGTAAAATATTATTTAAAAAAAAATAATAACCGTCGGCCCGCGTAACCCGACATAATATTGCCTATACATATTATTATCATAATAATAATTATATTGTATAATAGTGCTATTGAGGACCATTATAATATACCTACTGCGACCGTTCGCCGTTGCATAATAATTGTTTACATTCGGTCGTTACGCGAACGATAATAATAATAATAATAATAAATTGTGCACTCTGTCCGAATAGTTGTTCGAAAACACTTTTTCGATCGTCGTCCGCGAAACACGTTGGGTACACATTTAAGTTTCACGCCGCCCACCAGATTTGAATTTCTCACACATTTTTTATTATAAACGTTTCGATCTTCAGCGCCGACCCACCCAACGACCACGACAACAACAGCAAAAACCCGTCACATACTGTTTGGGTTAAGCGATTACGTTATCTTATTAGCATTAAACACGTCTCGAGTTTGAGATCGAGACCTATCTAGGGGGGGGGGTGCCCAGGGGCCGCAGATACTAGGTTGCCCCCCCCCATCGATGGAAATATCGAAATGCAGTTCTTGTCCCTGTTTGAACGTTATTCTTTATATTATATTGACCGCATTGGCGTACACTTAATTATCATAATTATTATTAGATACACGCCGTTAAGTTATGTCACCGTCGATTAATTATACATATACTTAATAATATGTCATTAAATACGAAGTAAAATACTAAAAAGTTACCTCTCTTTTGCCTGACATGGTCTGAACACTTGATTTTTACTTAAATAATTACGCAAATACTTGGTATAATGACACAGATCTAATACCATTAAAATCTGTAAATAAATTTATTTTTATTAATTGAACAACTGAATTAATACAAAAAAATAATGAACGACTGATCGAGTGTTTGGTACCTGGGTATGTTTTCCCTTTCAGTGTTTTTTAAATGTATAAATTATACGAAAATATTCCTTAAAATATAAGTAGGTATAACAAAAATCCAAAAATTACCTTAATATTTTAAAGCTTCAAAACAAACATTTTTACTTTTTAGTGGGTAATAATCGATCAACTTTTTCCCAACACAAGGTGTTTATTTTCGGAAATGTCTGTCCTCGTTAATCCGCGGGCTAGATCAATGTGCAGATACGACGTGTAAAAGCAAGGGATAATATAACCGTCGAGATATTATAGAGTGCGTTGTCTCTCAAACGATGTAACCTACCTATAGTTCCTATAGTACAGCTATATAGGTATATATATGTATTAAAATATTATGTTTAGGTAGGTACAACTACGGTCGTACGTGTTGACAAAAAAAAAAAAACCAACCCATCTGATTATGACTTCCGACCGAATTTCGTACACCGTCGTCTTCTTGTACGCGCTCGAAAACCGATGTCTATATCATCATAATAATGTACTATATTCGTATTAAATTCTCGTCTCACGTTATTATAATAATCGTAGGTATATGTGTGTATAAAATATAATATTTTCCTATGCGAGACACGCGCGCAGTCACCGCAGCAACAGGTGTAAACTATTAGTTTCCGTCTCGAGAGTCACGAATAGAAGAGGAACCGTCCGCGTCGTCGTAAATGCGATGACGACGACCCTGCCCACAACTATATGGCTTTGGCTAGCGGCTGTAAAATTTAATATTTAATGATATATCGGATTGCCGGTGTCGAAATTAAATACCGGCGAACAGGTCGAGTGTATATCATATAGTGTAAAAAAAAAATTCCATTAAGGGGTGCCGAACGCTCGGCATTTTTTATTTTCCCTCACAGGATGTCCGGTAATGATTTTCACCCTTCGCCCTCGCCGGTCGCCATATAGTCTTTATCGTAACGACCTCGGCAAACCGAGCCAAACATACCGCAAAATAATATACCTAAAACATATTATACACCGAAATGGATTTATATAGTTTATAATAAAAACTCATTAACCGTCGTCGTCATTCAGTCACTATATTAATAATATATTGTGTAACGGATCTCTTAGAGTATAGGTACCTATATAGCTAACGGGTGTTTTGGCATTTATTGTACATCGTCGAAAACAAGAGATAGTATAACATATATAAATCAGAAATACATAATATAATATTACCGGCTATTATGTATTATTGTAAGCTCGCTCACACTCATAACCAACCGGTTGCCGTCACAATATGTTATTATTATATTCGTCTTCGTGTATGTTCCATTTCTCCTGCTCAAAAAAAAAATTATCCTTATGCAATTTTAATGGCGACCTATTAATTCGAAAGTAATTATACACACTTGCTGCAGCAGTGCCGTCCGTCGTCGGTGTGGGTGATTTATTATTATTATTTTGTATAACATTAAGCACGGGGTACCTACTACCTATACAATAACGAAATGCACACAATATACGCGTAGGTACCATATAATATTGCGTATACCAACACCCGATGTCAGGTATATCGGTCTTGTACCTAGTCTTTATGCGGAACGACGGTTTTGATTGAAATAACGAAAAAACACAACGCATCGTTTGTGATGTAGGTTAATTTGCACGTACCCAGGTAATAATAATATATTATATTATTATGAATTTGTGAAAACCGTAGCCTGTGCTCGGACTAACGATCATAATAATATTATGTATATTACACTGCACCTTCCTTAATTATTGCATTAACCGTGCGTACAGATGAGGTCCGAAAGGGAATATTGTTCTGCACCAAGAAAATAATTAAATAACTTTATTTGGCAATCATTTTGGTACCTATTGTCCGGTCAGAACTCGTACGCATCGACGCCGAACCTATATGCAATTCTAAAGATTAATAATTGGTCCATTATTTTAATAATTATAATTAAATAATAATATTTTATGTCCTTGACATGCCAAATTATATCGGCTACGTACCTATAATTTAGTACAGTTTGATATCGTCGTTATTATGGCACCTAATAAGTATCTATAGGACACCGAACAACAATATATTGTAATATAAAGTTTGTTTATCGATAAAAAAAAATGTAAATTACAATAATAATAATAATAATTATAGAATTCTGTAGACAGATCGAACGACTATTATTTGATATTTTCAACGACGAAAGAAAATTAATTATTCAGATGTAGGTATAGATATTTAAAAAAGTATTCATATATAGGTAATAATAGGTATAAGTACCTAACCAAAGTTCTCAGATCATTTGATATATTATATTTTTTAAACGTATTCATAAAAATGAGAAAATATTTGTCAAACTTCTCTCGCGCCATTGTTATCTGGTAACGATATTATTTGATGAATGAGCCATATTTTACATATGGAGAATAATATTTTCTATAGTCTTTTATTTTTCTCGTAATCCGAACCGGCAGGAAAATGGAACAAGCCGAACGTGACCCCGACTAAGGGAGGATTCACTTAATCACAATTCGAAATCATCTGTCACTGATCCAACACATGTGTGGGGGAAAAAATAATATGACCCTATTCGGCCGGGCACACAGACATTCCTAAACGGACATCTGTTCGGATGTATTTATTCCGAGCTAAATAATTCATAATAATTGTATTTTGTGTATTGTGTGAGTGTGTGACTCGAATGTTATCGGTAGGTCAGATATTATGGTTTGTTGAGCGTATTTTTCAAAAATAAGTTATGCGCGTTATGCAACTAATATTCTTGTTTCTTAAAAGGAAAATTCGATACGATTGTCATTGGAATGTTTTAGGGCTGTCAAATACCTCTGTTCTATTGCCGAGTGACTAATGATCTCCTTGAATCGTATTCGTACAATAGTATACCTATTATAATAACTCTCGACATCCAGAATAATATACCCTATCGTGTAAATGTCTTCAACATGTAATACTCAAGTACCCATACTAAAGTTTTAAATTGAATTTTCGTTAAAAAAACATTAACATGACTCAATACACGACTTAATACACATTATATAACATTAATAATTGTCAGGAAATAATATTAAGTACCTATAGCCGATATCGAGTTTTGAAAATACCTCGATCATACGCAAAACCCTGCGATTATCGAGAATAACTTCCGTACAGAGTAGGTACCTAGCGGTTGATTTAAAAGTATAATATTGCAGTCTTAATTGCTTCGACTTGGACAGTCGTCCAAAAATAATGTATAATCATACTTAATCTACAGAACAGTCTTAGACCCCGAGCCCGCAGGAGGTCCATGTGGATGAGCAGGTGCGTGTTTCAGCAACCGTAACTTCTCGTACTATATTATTATACCTATGTATTAACGATTTGACCAGAACTACGGTCCTCCCTTAAGCTTCACCAAGCGTATATCCTTTGGCTCGAAACGCCTTTCATTATTATATATATAATATTATTTTTGTGGCAGCAGGTACATGTGCTGGCAATAGGAATCACACCTGGTTTAGTCTCTATCTTGGTGCTCAGTCTTCCCTGACGCGACGTTAAAAAATAACATCAAGTCATTACTATATATATTATCATACACCACCTACCTACTATATGATATCGATTTTATACACCGTGCACATATTAATAGCCTGGTCGAATTTTACATTAATTTAATAGAATGGGCTGACCCCTGCCCTATATATAGGTACCTACGGATATACGGTTTTAATTTTAATATTCGTTATGCGTTTTGAAATGGGCATCTAATTACGTATCGACAAACGTAATAGTGTACAAATTCTGTAGAAAAACAAAACCTTTTAGACGAATATTGTTGTTGAACCACTCAAACCTAAAACAATAATAAGCATTATTATTTTATATACGGATTTGAGTCACGACACGTTAAACTACTAGGTAGGTACAATGCACGTACTTACAGAGTGCTTACACTAGTTGTGTAATATATAACGTTGGAAAGTACCTATGGAGAAAAATTCATTTACGATATTATAAAGGAATCGGGATACATTACACCAGAAGCTGCTCGATATTTACCAGGCTTAGTAATTCAATCACTATACCATGAGAACTAACTCGACATATGTACCGGCCATCATATCCCGCATAGGTATTAAACAGTTTATAATCGATTTCTGCGGTTTCTTTCCCTATGGTCGTCACTCGACCATAAACGAAGTTTCATAATAATTAGGTACCTACCTACTTACACTCGACAACATTATTGAACATATAAAACGTCTTTCCGCTAGAATTTTTTTTTTTTAATATAAATTGCTTCTTTAGGCGCCTGTATTCATTTAATTCTTATACTATACAATTTATGTTGTATAAACCATTAACCAACAATGTGTTAAACATATGTTCCTTTTGCGTATCTTTTCTAACCCAACTGTGAAAGGAAATACGTCGGCTGATCCCAATTATTTGAGATATTACACACAATAGGTACCTACACTACAAAACACTAGGAGAACGATATAATTTCCAACCTATTGTAAAGCCTATATAAGTGCACACAATTGTTCTTAAGACCTTAAATATGTTGTATTACTTGCAGGGTATTTGGTTGCATACTTGCATATTGCGACACATACTTTTAGTTTTTATAAAAGATAATGTATCAACAAATAAAAAAAATATATAATATACATTATATGAGACTTGCAAAGTTTAGGTAGACGTTTTCAAGTCAAATTATTCTATTCAAAATTCACTTCTCACAAATTTAATAACAGTGAGCGCCAAGCGGGCATATAATAGTTTAATAAACCCATTGGATTTGTGTGGGAAGCATAACCTTTTAATGTGTACAAACACCATTTATTTATGGTTCCAATCATTAAATACAACAATATTCTACGAATTGTTATACTATTGGAACTAATTTAAGATTGAAGACGGAGCAACTTACCAATTATCGCACCTTAAATTGTATAATACTTTAAATTATAAGCTTTATATGCATATTATTACGATGAACAATAATTGTCTATTGTTGATCTCAACTGTAAAATTTAAAATTTTAGTACTTAACTTTTACATTCTGATATTAAGAACATTTTTATTAAGTCATCCTTACATTATCACAAACGCTAGCTTTCTATTATGTATGTTTAAAAGTTTTATAAAAAAAAATTGAATTATTTGAAAAATTGTTGATTTCATTTAATTTGCTTTATCCATAATATTTCCACACTTTCAGATTTAATTTTATTAGAATGGGTTACAATATTATATTGAATTAATTTTTTTTTTTTTTTTTGACAAATTGCATAATTAAAAATAATAAATTTTATGTTTCAGGTCTCAGATTGTGAAAAAGACAAGGATATAATGGGATCTGTTGTCTATTGCATTCACCACAAAGAAGGTTGTAAATGGAGCGATCAATTAAGGCGTCTAAAAGTAAGTACTCAATATAATGTTATCCTTGAGCTTTTGTGATTAGGAAAGTTAAATAAATAAAAAAAATATTGAACTATCTTTCTCTTTGTAAAGATTTTATTTTAATTAGTCAAACATTACATTAACAGGGACACTTGCAAACATGTAAATATGATGCGTTACCTTGCACAAACCACTGTGGCGCTCAAATTGCCAGAATTCTAATGGATGATCATGTGAGATATACATGTATTGAACGTGTCATCAAGTGTGAATACTGTAATGGTGAAATGAAAGGAGAAGCAGCTGGGGAAGAACATAGTAGAACATGTCCGGTGGAGCCAATCCATTGTGAAGCTAAATGTGGTGTAAAAATTCCAAGACGAATGTTGGCCAAACATAAGGTAGACAATTTTAGAATTATAACATTTTGAATGGTTAACTATAAATGTACAATTTTTAATCAGGTCACAGAATGCTCAAAAAGATTACTACCATGTCGTCATTGTGGACGGCAGTTTGTAGCTGACACTATTAACTCACACACAACATCATGCCCACGTTTCCCTCTAACTTGTCCCAATCGATGTGAAATTGTCACTGTAGCACGCGAAGATTTAGAACATCACATTAAACATGCATGCCATTCAATGTTAACATCTTGTAGCTTCAAAGATGTTGGTTGTCGATTCAAGGTAAAATGTTATTGGTATTAACTAAGTACCTTTTGACTAACTTTTATATTTTCAATTGTAGAGTTTAAGAGGAAAGCAAATGGACACACACATGGAGGAAGCAAGCCAACAACATTTAACATTAATGTGCTCAATGGTCACTAAACAACAACAACAAATTGTATCCATGAAAAAAGTTATAAATAACTTAGCTGTTAATCAGTCAGGTATATAAGATTTTTTTTAACAGTACATTAAATTTAAATACCAATTGCTTATAAAAATCTTATTACTTAAAGGTACTTTGATTTGGAAAATCAGCGATGTACTGGAAAAACTTGAAGAAGGTCGTCACAAACTATGCGGTGATGGTCTAGAACTCATCAGTTCGCCGTTCTACACCAGCCAGTTTGGGTACAAGTTGCAAGCATCGGTGTTTTTGAACGGCAACGGATCTGGTGAAAACACACATGTATCTGTTTATATAAAAATACTGCCAGGTGAATTTGATGCTTTATTGAAATGGTCATTTTCACATTCTGTGGCATTCACATTATTTGACCAAAGTGAAAAGGTGTGTAATTCAAAAATATCATTTATGTTTATGAAACTAACCTATTATGAAATATATATTTGCACATTAGAGTTGAATGTACCAAGTATAAATTGCATAAAACATATAATAGGGATAACTAAAATGTATATTATGGTTTAAATATGTTTAGTTAAAAATAGGACATCAAATATAATTTAAAAAATACCTCATATAAATTTCTTTTGATAACATTTTTATAATTTATATTTATATAAATATAATTTTCAGTCAAAAATAACAATAACTTTTATAATACTATTTATCATTATAAATAAAAAAAAAAACAACAACATTAATAAGCAATTTTAATTTGCATTGTAATGTGCAAATATATTATTCTAGTGGTTATGTACAAATGTAAAATACAAGATAAATTACTAATATTTTAACTACCTTTGTCATTTCATAGCCATGCAACATAGTTGAGAGTTTTGTGCCTGATCCATCTTGGGAGAATTTCCAACGACCAAGCACGCAGCCGGATAGCCTTGGATTTGGTTTTCCTAAATTTGTGTCACATGAAACCCTACTAAAAAAAAGACAGTTTATTAAAGATGACACTATATTTTTACGCATAAAAGTAGATCCCAGCAAAATAGTAGCCGTTTAAAATTATTTTCAGCTTATAATGTATATTAGTATGATCTCGTAAAATGTATATGAAAATAAGTGTTCATATTTAATTATTTTTTTTTTGTTTTGGTTGTCTTTTTTTCACAATTGGTAATGTACAAAATGTGACTGTTTGTTTATGTTAATTCTTACACCGGTTGAGTCAATTGACAAACTTTATTTCTTCATTTTATTTATTCATTTTTTTTCCTTTAAGAATACTATACCAAATAATTTTATATTTTATTATATTATTATCTCATAATTATTATATTATACACTATACTATTTTGTTATTCACATTAAGCCTATTTAATTTTAAGTATTATGTAATTAAGTGTTTTTAAATAAATTATAAGCAAACCTACATTATACAAATCTATTCTTAAAGAACTGAAAAACTTGGTATGAATTGTCTCTATTTCCGTCCAAGTGCAACATGTCTATCAAAATTACATTGTCTGACTTTCTTAAAACTAGTGTAGCCGCAAATAATGGTTTGGCATTCACTGTGGTCTCTAAATGCTGATCAACCCTTTCATCATCAGATGCAATGAGTAAACAACTATCATTTGTTTTTTGACGTTTGCAATCAGCTAATCTTTTTTCCATTCGCCTTTTTCTTCTTTGATGTGTCCATGTATTTTCATATGCTTGAATGTCAGCTTGGTATAAGACACTTTCATCAATTTTTGATTGTAGTTTTGAGATTGACAGCTAAACACAAATAATGAAGTATTAAAAAAAAAATTATAAATAATATTAATAGTTATTTACCTTAAGACTATCTAGAAGTTCTGATAGTTTAGTTAGCGCAGTTGTAGAATCATACGATTCTGGAATTTTGAAAGACACCGGAGGTCTAAGTTTCAACTTCTCCTTTTGAAACTCCTTATTAGGCAAAAAATCCTTTAATTTTATATCCGGCTGAAATGTCCAAGCAAGCCCCCAACGAGCATTCCGGCCTTGAAAGAAACCAGCTTCTGCAATTGTACATGCTCCAATAGCTTTCAGTTCATTTTTTAGAGGGTCTAATGATGCTTTATAACCAACCATTGTTGTATAAATACTAATAAAAAAAATAAAAAGTTATAATATAAATGAAATAAATTTAATTTGTAGGCAATATGGAAAATGTTGAGCGAAAAATATTTTTCATATCAATATTACACAAGAGTACAAGATAACAAAATGTTTTTATCGAAAGAAAAATATCTTACATATTCTTAATACCACTGGTAATAATACAAATAGATTTTATAATACATAATTAAACTGATTAAAAAATATATATATTTGGTTAGGTATTTATTAGGGATGGGTCAAATATAAGTTTACAAGATTAAAAACTTAAAATTAAATTATTTCTTAAACTGTTCAAACTTTGATTTTATTTAAGTAATAAAGCAGTGTTTCTCCTCAAAAAAATTATTCGCCGCCATACTTTGCAAACCTAATTATATTCACTCTTCAAACTTAAATTTTTAAACTGTTAGATTTTCATAATTCTTGAGAATAATGAAACCTATCCCTATTATTTATCTCATAGTTATTACTTTTGTTTTAATCAGGTAGGTTCAGATTGGTTACTTATTGCTGAAGTCTTAAATGTTTCAAAAAAAAAAATCATTAAAATAATTTTTATTAATTTTAAAATAAAAGTGTCAGAATCAACAGTAGATGACTTGGGTACCTACTATCTACTTTAAAATATCACATAATATAGGTATCTAAAATGGTACTTTTAATATTGACGAAGAAAAACGTTTGTTCATACTTTAATACAACCTTAAGGGTTAATTAAAACGCAATATACCTAGATAATTTTAAATTTTAATTGAGTAGTTGTTACTATTATGACTTAACGTAGATCACAGCATAAGAATGTGCACCAGCAATATGAGTTTAGCTGCACACTTTGTAAGAATTACAATTTTTTTCCAATTATAAATTATAAATTTAAGTTAGGTGTTATATTATTATGTATATGATTAAAAACTATGAAGAATATTTTAAAAATTGTCATTTAAATATAAATTTTATAGTTGAATTTATAAAAATAATGAAATGATCTAAAAATTAAACCATACTGTAAGTTATAATGTATTTTTTATCTCTTAACAAAGAACTATTATTTTGTAATGAACTATGATAAATATGGTTTATTTATGAAATGTGTCTGTTGTATTATTGTTGATGATTAACATACTTAATTGTGTATATTATTACCATGACTAAATAAATAGGCATGTCAGTTAGTTAACACTGTGCATGAGATATTCTCCAGAATAAGAATAAAAGCTAAAATATTGCTATTATATTATATAATATTATCCAATTGATATTGTTTTTTCCTTGTCTGGGGAACATGCAAAAAGATTTCAAAAATTTAATATTAGCTGACATCCCTATTTATTAAATCAAGTTTATTACTTTAATTTTAATCATAAAACTACTGCACACATAGACATGGATGCAGTAAAATATGGAAATAATTCTAGTTTAGCTTCTAACCTAATTTTAAACATATTTAAAAACAAGTCAGACATACTTTATTACTTTTAGACATACGTTCAAAAGATTATGGTTATTACATAACCTAGGAATGGAAAATATAAAGTATATGAAATCGTAACATGGACCAGGCACGCCCGTAGGGAGGGGCCAGGTTAGGTTAGCTTTAGCCCCCCCCCTCAAAACTAATGATTTCACTACTATAATTTAAAAGCATCATAAGAGTTTCAAGTATAGACCTGAGCTTCAGCCTCCCCCCAAATTTCAAACACTATTTATGCCAATGCTTTTCTAATAAACTGTCGTCTGTCGAATTTTAGTATAGGGTACAGTGATATAAACTGTAATACTAAACTGTAATACCACGCATCTATTAATACATTTAGTTTGGTCACTAAATGATATTATATATTATTAATTTCGTTAAGGGGCCTCGCTACGGCTATTATTTGAGGAGCAACATTTAGGCAATTTTTAATCAATCACAGTTTACAATAATATAAGATTTAATGTTTACAAAGTGTTCCGTACGATCTATAGACAATTTTTTGGCGAGTTCGTATTTTTCAGAATAAAAATCGGACAACGTAAACTAACTTTAATTTTGTTAAAATTTAAGGTCTTTTGAGGTAGAATAGATGGCAGTGGCGAGGCCTCTTAACTGTGGTACATTATTATGGTTAGGTATGTTTGATCCACTCATTATAATAATATATTGGTGTATACTGTATAAAAATAATATATTATGATGCTATTATTATTATTGACAATTCAGTAGCGGACTGGCCTGGTGTGCCACTATTCTATAGCACAGTGGGCCGGTACCAGATTGTAAGTGTTGGGCCGCTACTATGGCTAGCAAATATGTATAAGTATCTATAATTTTTGTATTTGTATTTGTTTTTTTTGTTATTTCATAATAATATATTGGATGATTGGGCTGCTATTGCCCATCACAAATTACACAATGTAGACACTAGTACACTACTATATAAAAGATACCAAAAATATAATATATAGATATAAATTATAATTAAATAATATGGATAATATGGATATCAATACAATAAAAATATTTTATTTCTGGAAACGTAAAACGTTATTGTCCTGTCAGGGATTTTATGCCGTTTGGCGTGTATAGCAACGCATTTATAAAGTAGGTATAAATAAATTCAGATAGAATTAAAAGACTATGGCCAATTTGACTATTTTATTCCTGTCAAATTAGACAAATAATTAGGCTTTAGCTCGGAAAAATTAGCACCAAGAAAAATTTAGGTTTATATAGGATATTTATTTTGTAAATTGATTGACGCACGGTAGAACTACTGGAAAATAACGAAATTATAGTGAATACAATATTATGAGTAATGAGTAGGTACTAGCCAAAGTGATTGTTTCTAAGTTTAGTATTATTTTATATTTCAATAATTTAAATTTAAAAGAAAATGTTGGGAATAACATGTATTGTATATAATATTATACACCTAAACATACTGTAATAGAATGGCCTGAAAAAAATTACACTACTTATATGACTACAATCATGAAAATGTCATGGATAATAAATAATTTAAGAAATATTCTCACATGTCAGGAAATTTCCAAAAACAATATTTTGAAAAAAGTTATTACGTTTAAAATTAATTTGCTTCAAAATAATAATATTAAAAAGAATTAAAAAAAATAAGCTACTTGATTTAAATATACGTTTTTTTTTTATCAAAATGTGTTTAAAAATTAGATTTACAAATAGGGTACTTATTTTAACTTTTTCAAAAAAAATATTAGGTAGGTACTTATTATATACAATTTTAGATTCCGAGCAGAGTGATGAATGTATTGATTTTCCTATCATGTGTGTTTTTTTTAATTTTAAATTTTTAAATTGTTGTCTGCCGTCACTGTTTGGGATAGTAGAACTGCTTCTATTTTCTTCAACAGTATCTTGTTCGATGGGAAGGTGAATTAAGTTAGTGCATTCGGGAGGTCAAAATTTAAAATTTCCAATAGTTTTCAAAAGAAAATTAAGAAAAAACAGGAATTTTTACGCCCAATAGGTTTTTGATAAAACGACTAGTTTTTTTTATAATTCTAAAACAAATGACCGTAAATACATCAAATTTTTACTGAATGTTTATATTAGAATTTTCTATGAACCATAACATTTTCAAGTTTTATTTTGAGCTGTTTTCGGACATTTTCAGTTTCGATTTTATTTTTTTTTCTATAAATATCAATAAAATTCTATTTGTTGGGTAAAAACTCTTGAACATTTAATTGAAGGCTCCTAATATATTTTTTCAAAGGAAGATGAAAAATATTAAAAATCCGTCGTCACAATTCTTATTTTTTAAGCATTTAAAGTTCAAATATTGACAAAATACGCAAAAATTACAAAAATTCACAAATTATTTTTAGCTAGATATTTATAAAAGTTTTTATTTTTAAAACTCAGATTTGAAAATGTTATACAAGATTCATCATAACTTTGTCTACTTTTGTCAAAAAAAAAATTTCTACCAGAAATAAAATAAAATTTTAATGAGCGATTGAAGTTTAAATTTTTTCAAAATTGGATATTCACTCGATTTCTCATATACCTAGGTACCTAGCGATTTCCTTATTTTTTTGTAATTCAAAAATTAATAACTGTAAATTCATGAAAATTTCACTGAATATTTGTATTCTCATTTTTTATACACCATAACAATTTTGAAAATATTTTGACTCATTTTGAGCTGTTTACAGACAATTTCAAATTTCAATTTGTTTAGTTTTTTTTTTATAAGTATCAATACAATTTTATTTTGTGGGCTAAACAGTGTAAAAATTTAATATAAGGCTCCTGATATATTGTTACAATAGCAGTTTAAAAATATTAAAAATACAAACATAGGCACAATTTTTTTTTATAAGTATTTAAAGTTCGAATTTATCAAAATCTCGAAAATTATCAATCATTGTATTTTTAAAAAATTATAAAATGTACAGTTTTTAATTTTTATAACTATGGATTGAAAATGTAAAACAAAGATGTTAAGTAGTTTATACTGTAACCAAAAAATCTATAAAATATAGTTGAAGAATATAGTTATAAGAAACAGTTATTTTTTACTGACATTTTTAATTCAAATTAGGACGAAATGACATATTAAAACCAAGAATAATGATTTTAGTTATTTTGTTGCAATTTAAAAATATTATTTGTTGGTATATGAAACTTTTAGAGTATATTGTTATATTTTATAAACACGCAATGACATTTTCAAATGTAATTTTTTCTTTAACAATGAATTTAACCTACTATAGTAAATACTATAATTCCTAATACTGAAATTAATTACCTAAGTACTTTATTCACAATAGTATCATCAAATACTGTATATTAACCGTCTTTTCAGTATACAATGATATTATATCATTAAATTCAAATTTAATACCATTCATTACAGTGACCCACTTGTAACCTACTGTACAGCAGAGTGACATCCACATGCCCACCTTTTTATTGGTATTACAAATATTATACTGTACTTACAAAAGTCTATAAATTATTTAAAATAAATATTTAAATGATTAGAACAAAAGTTACCTATTCAATTTGTCGAGTGTTTCTGTTATACATTGTGTATAAGTTCATAAATCATGAGTGCAATTAGAGTAAAAAAAATTGCCCTAAAACACCTAGGGCCGCTAATAAACTTGGAATAGTGGGCCAGACCCGTCCCAGTCCGCCCCGATTATTGTACACTTATATACCTAACACTATAGATTGTTTATTGTATTGTTATACAATTATATTCATATTTTAATTGCATTATAAAACAATTACAGTTAATACTGAAAATTGCAATTAAAATTTTTACTTGGATATAATATAAAACATGAAACTAAAGTAGGTATCACTAAAATTAGGGCTGATTCATTAAATGGTATATTTTTCCAAACAATTAATTAATTTTATATACAATTGATAACCAATTTATATTAACCATTATGTAGGTAAGTATCTAATTATTAGGTACCTAATCAATATAAATTATGAATTCTTATATTTTTAAAAATTCATCATAAAGATGTCATTAAATAAGGGTAAGGGAATGGGGGGAAGCCCCCCACAGCATATATTGTCACTAAAAGTAGGTATTTTACACCTAGTGAGCTACTTATCTGCGGGTGTGCCTAACATGGACTAAGATATATCATTGTCTGTGATGGGTAGTAAGTATACAAACTTTTAAGTGTTATAATTTGAAAACTGAGTACAAATAACAAATATTGATTGTATCTTAATTTTTTTCATAAAAACTACATAGAATTACAAATTAAGTGTTCCTGGAAGCTTAACTAGAATTATGCCAAAATATTGAAGTCCTAGTTCAAAACTGCAACTCTAAACAATTTGGTTTTTTGGGTATAATATGTTTTCTATATTGTTTCTCTATGTACAGTAACATAAATTATAATATTCAAAATACACTCTCGTGGACAATAATTAAACTATATTTTATTGATTTCTTGAACTGAAATTGTTATAAGATGGTGTACATAACTCGGATTAGTTAAAACTCGAGTCATGGCAGTTTTGAACTGGAGCGTCAATATGTTCTATTATTTGATAACTTTAAACAAACTATAATATGGATAATATATATTATTTCATACTTATGAAAGTAATAATCATTAATCAATAAGAATATTTTTACACCAAACAAATTTCCAAGTAAAACTAATTGTATTATAATATATAAATAATACTTTATTATTATTACCTTATCGAATTCTGTAATATTTCACTTTCGTTAATCATTTTTTTTATAAAATCAACTTCTCCACCAGCTGTATACATTTCAGAAGTAATCCCAACCGCACTATCTGCTTCATCATCTGATGAATTTATTTTTGCAAAACTATGAAAAGGTGGGTTACACATACAGAAGTCATAATGTTCATCAACTGCTACTGGTAATAATCTTTCCCATTCTGATACCTCCAGTACTAAAAAATAGAAAAATAGAATTAAAACATTTCATTATATTGCATTATTCTTGTTAAGTAATTACCTTGAATTAAATGTTGTAAGTTATTTTTTTCTACATTTTTAATAGCATTTTTAATAGCTTCTTTATTGATATCAGTACCGACCATAGACCACTGAAATTGTTTAGCTGCTAATAATGGATAAATACATGATGAACCTGTGCCTGAAAAAATAAAACATTTGGTCTGATTTTAATTAACAACTACTAAGCAAACTAATATAAAAATTAGGACATCAAATTAGTTTAAGTTTATATTAGCAGTTTACACATAGTATAATATGCTTGATCATAATATGTAACAAGAAAATAAAAACAATTTCAAAAAGAGGGGAAGTAAGTAAGCGCTCTGATATACAGTAGGAATTGAGAGTACCTCTTCAATGAGTAGGTCACTTTAATAGATGTATTGAATGTAATTCAATGATACATTATAAGGCAATAATGTAAAATTAATCTTAATGTGTTTATGATGTCATAGTGTATAATATTATACAATTTAATAATATAATTTATTACACATTACATAATATCTACCTATCATATTATTATGTAAATCTTTGAAATCCCAAATTAAAATACTTTTGAATTACAACAAAATAACCAAAATTTTTGTTTTTTGTTTAAATTAAAACATTGAATGACTAAAAAAAAAATATAGTCTTTGTTATGAAATTATAAATTTTTTGATTCCAGTATGACCTATTTATGAGGAACCTCGAATTCAAATGTCAGACTCAGACCTTAATTAATATAAAAATTTAACACTATAAATTTTAAATTACAAAAATATTTTGCAAATTTACGTGATTTTGAATTTTGATTAATTTTGTAAAAATTTGAAATTCAGATGCTTATGAAAAAAAATTGAGCACACAAATTTTATAAATTTTTAAAGAATGATGAGGAACCTTGTATGAAATATTCAAAATTTTTGATCGATTGAAACTATTTTCAAGTATTTTCGTTCTTAAATTACAAAAAAGTGAAAACATTTTATTTTTATGCTTCAATATCCTATTTCGTTCAAATTTAAACTTAAGACACTCATAAAAAATATTTATGGAATACAGCTCAAAATTTTTTTTAAATCCAGTTTCGACAACTTATGAGGGACCATGTATTCTATTTTCAAATTGTAGGTATGAATATTAGTGTTTACGAATTTTAAACTACCTACAAAATAATTAAAACTTTTCCTTGATTTTAACGAATTTTCAGATTTTGTCAGCATTTTAACTATACACTAAAAAAAAATATTACGAACACGAATTTTCGTGAATTTTGAATTTTTAAATGAGCGAAATAGGTAGGTATATTTTATGGGCAAAAAAAATAAGAAAAAATAGAAAATGCATACATATAAGTATATAACCTATGTGTTTAGTGTTTACGTAATGTATAGTTCAAAATGCGTCAAAATATTTTTAAAATGTCTTGTATAAAAAAGGTTGGTGAAAATTTTAAGTAGGTACGGTATTTACGGTTTACGAGTTGCGCAGAAAATAAAATAAAATCGATATTGTTAAAAACAAAATAATTAAAACTTTTTCTTGGTTTTAACGAATTTTTAGATTTTCTCAGCATTTTAACTATACACTAAAAAAAATAAACAGTGAGTGTTGTTGAACACTCGGCAGGAACGAAGTTCAGTGAATGTGATGCGAGACGCGGAAACATATATGGTTAGAAAAATATAAATAAATAGAGATAGAGAGAGAGAGAGACAGAGAGAGAAATGAATGCTTGTATAAATATATCGCGCGCATGGTAATAAAATTATAATAAATTTTTTCTGAGTATTATGAAAGAATGGTATTTTATTTTATAATCATTATAAAAGTACAAAGCAATTATGAAATTAATCAGTATTCTCAATAACAGTAACTATTGGTTTGTGGTAGCTGAATTAATATGTCACGTATGTTTGTGATTGAATTTTTTCTATATATCTCGAAATACTGCATCGATAGTGGTATTGTATCTTGTTGTAGATTCCGACTGATTATTATTGATGGTTAAGTCAAATTCTACTGAAAGAAATTTTAATAATGATACGGTTGATACAGCTTGTACTCGATTATCGTTTTTCAAAAGTAAATTTTAATTTCATTTGTTTAATAGATTTGTATGTTGTATGTATATAGAGAAGAAGGTAAATGGAAATCACAATGGAATTTATAAATTTAAGGGGCAAAAATTATTTTGAAAATAAAATTCTTATCACTTTCCTAATCAATAAAAACAATATTTATGAAAATCCCAATAAATCCCATCAAAAACTCAAAACCCCGAGTTTCCCCTTGGCGAGGTGGGTGTTAGTACTCTCCCGGACCAAAATCCATCAAAAAAGCAAAATCCAAAAGGGGGGGAGGAGGTGCCCCCGTTCCCTAAAGCGGAAAACTGTAGTCTTCATAATAAGAATGGGTTCCCCCTTGGTCCGAGGTCTTTAACTTGAATTCCGGCCGAGTTACACTCAACTCAAAATGTGGGGGGGTGGGGGCTTTGGTTCCCTAATGTTGAAAATTCATCTGGGGCCTAAAAAAATGAGATGCCCATTGGTCCGGGGTCTCTAAGTCGAATACCGGCTAAGTTATGCTTCGTCAAAAATAATTACTCGTTTAATGGGTCCCCCCCCCACTCCGCCCGACGATCACCTCTAAGCGCGTGACGACCGATGTTGGGTAGCCTACGCGAATGGAACCGCAGTGTTACCAGATGGTACGATCCTAGTGGGGACATACGATAATATGAGAGGAGGGAGGGGATATGTAAGCCGGCAGCCGAGCAGGCAGGCACAGCCTGTCTAAATGTTACGCTTTTCGGTGTTACGCTTTTTGGTGTTGCGATTTTTGGTGTTGCGATTTTTTTCCAGCGACTCCCATCCACCTAACGCCCCATAAGGAACTTCGTTCCAAAAATATTACGAGCACGAATTTTCGTGAATTTTGAATTTTTAAATGAGCGAAATAGGTAGGTATATTTTATGGGCAAAAAAATAAGAAAAAATAGAAAATGCATACATATAAGTATAACCTATGTGTTTAGTGTTTACGTAATGTATAGTTCAAAATGCGTCAAAATATTTTTAAAATGTCATGTATAAAAAAGGTTGGTGAAAATTTCGAGTAGGTACGGTATCTGCGGTTATTTGGTTTTCGAGTTGCGCAGAAAATAAAACAAAATCGATATTGTTAAAAACAAAATAATTAAAACTTTTTCTTGGTTTTAACGAATTTTCAGATTTTTTCCACATTTTGATCTCGAAAAAATAACATTTATAATCCATATTAACTATCTCATATCAACATCGTCAAATTCATGACGATTGTCGGCAGTGAGCCGCCAGTGACGGACGTATAAAAATAACAACCATTTCGGGAATATTGTCTATTATTTACTATTTTTAGTCGTCGCCCGATAAGCAGAAGGAACTGTGGCCACAATATTATTCACCTCGAAGGAATGAATAATTATAAACACGTATTAACTCTTCATATAAGTGTCTAATAAAAAAAAAATCTTTGTTCCAAAATGATTTCATTTCGGATCATTTCGTAATACGAAAAAAACACAGAGCAAGCCCGTGCCTACCTCCTGGGCACGCCACTGGGGTTACCCCGCGAAATGAATGTCCACTACTCCGCTCATCAAAATTTTAATATTTATACCTCATAAACTAATAGCCCCAAAGACGATTTACCATAATTAATTTATAATAATAAACAAATAAATACCTATTAATGTTAATTGACAATTTTTAATATTATATATTATATTTTTAAGAAATTGTTTTATTAGATTATATTTGGTTAAAATTTAAATCAATATTGATGAATTTTGTACGTATGAAATAATGAAAACTGATTGTTTAAATTTTCCAGTAACCACCAAAAGGGTTACTTAAAAGTTTGTAGTGAACATTTTGAATTTTTAAATGAGCGAATAGGTGGGTATATTTTATCGAGTTTTAGGGGGAAAAAAAACTAAAAAAAAAATAGAAAATGTGTATATATACATATATATTGTGTGTATAGTGTTTACGTAAAGTTTATAGCTCAAAATGAATCAAAATATTTTTTAAATTTCGTAACGTATAAAAAAGGTTGGTGAAAATTTAGAGTAGGTAAGGTGTCTACGGTTATTAGTTTTCGAGTTGCGCAGAAAATAACGCAAAATCGATATTGTTCAAAAACTGGTGTTTCGTAGAGATGACAGTTTTTCCCGGATTATTTTGATGAATTCAAACGAATAATTATTAATAGATATTATACAAAACCTAATTTACGAAATTCTTACCGTGCTCATACCTACGGCGAATTATTGACGAAACATCGAGGAACACGATCAATTTACCGTAATTTAAATTTAAGTCCAAAAAACCGAACAAAAATTCATATCCATCTGTTTTAATTTTAATCGTATTTAAATACTTACTACTTCGCATGCACAGGCGTGCTTACTATAGTGTGTCAACAACTGTTACCTATTCTATCACTATATGTGACAATTATTAATTTAATTTAATTTAATATTCGTCGTACCTATATCGATTCCTTTGAATGGTAGTGTTTATGTAAAGTATATAGCTAAAAATATTTTTTAAATTTCGTAATGTAAAAAAAAGGTTGGTGAAAATTTCGAGTAGGGAAGGCATCTACGGTAATTAGCGACGTTATTAGTTTTCGAGTTGCGCAGAAAATAACGCAAAATCGATATTGTTCAAAAACTGGTGTTTCGTAGAGATGACAGTAAAGTTTTTCCCGGATTATTTTGATGAATACAAACGAATAATTATTAATAGATATTATACAAAACCTGATTTACGAAATTCTTACCGTGCTCATACCTACGGCGAATTATTAACGAAACATCGAGGAACACGATAAATTTATCGAAATTTAAAATTAAGTCCAAAAAACCGAACAAAAATTCATACCCATCTGTTTTAAATTTTAATCGTATTTAAACATTTACTACTTCGCATGCGCCAGACGCGCTTACTATATAGTGTGTCAACTATTGTTATTCCATCACTGTATGTGACAATTATTAATTTAATTTAATATTCGTCGTACCTTTATCGATTCCTTTGAATGGTATAGTGTTTATGTAAAGTATATAGCTCAAAATGAATCAAAATATTTTTAAAATTTCGTAATGTATAAAAAAGGTTGGTAAAAATTTAGAGTAGGTATCTACGGTTATTAGTTTTCGAGTTGCGCAGAAAATAACGCAAAATCGATATTGTTCAAAAACTGGTGTTTCGTAGAGAATCTCTTTGAGACATTGTATATTATTATCCTTTTTTACATGATAGGTAATATGATGGTATATATACAGGGGCGTATTTATGGGGGAGGCTGGGTGGGCTGCAGCCCCCCCTGAAATTTCAAGAAAATCCAAAAAATATGAATGTCAATAAAACTGTATTTGTTGGGTAAAAAAGCTTGAAAATTTAATACAAGGCTCCTGCTATATTGTTACAATAACAGTTGAAAAATATTAAAAATCCTTAGTCATATTTTTTTTATAAGCATTTAAAGTTCGAATCTTAACAAAATACGGAAAAATCACAAAACTTAAAATTTTGCTGAATGTTTTCTTTTTTTATACACCAAAAAAATTTGAAAATATTTTGCCTCTTTTTGAGCTATTTACGGACATTGACAGTTTTCATTTTTCTTAGTTTTAGATTCTGAGTGAAACGATGAATGTATTGATTTTACAATGATGTGTGTTTTTTTATTTTTTTATTTTTTTATTTTTTTATTTTTTTATTTTTTTATTTTTTTATTTTTTTGTATCTGTGTACACGATAAGTAGTCGAAATAATGCTTCGATTTTCGACTTCAGTATCTTGTTCGATTGGAAAGTGAATATCGTTGGTGCATTGGGGAGGTCAAAATTTAAATTTCCCAGTAGTTTTCACACGCGCCGGGAAAAACAACATAAAAATTAAGGAAAAACGGGAATTTTTACGCAAAATTGATTTTCCAAAAAATCGATTTTGGTTATTGGTGTAACTTTAAAACAAATGAACGTATATACATGAAATTTTCACTGGTTGTTTATATTTGCATTTTCTATACACGATAACATTTTCAAAATATTTTGATTTATTTTGAACTGTTTAGGGACATTTTCATTTTTCGTTTTTTTTTAGTTTTTTTTCTAGAAATATCAATAAAATTTTATTTGTTGGTTGCGAAAGCTTGAAAATTTAATAGAAGGCTCCTAATATATTGTTTCAAAGGCAGATGAAAAATATTAAAAATCCTTAGTCACAATTTTTTTTTATAAGCATTTAAAGTTCAAAAATTGACAAAATATGGAAAAATCACGAAAATTAGCAAATTATTTTGAGTTAAGAATTCGTAAAAATTTTTCTTTTTAAATCTAAGATTTGAAAATCTAATACAAGATTACTCATAAGATTGTCTACCTTTATCAATAAAAAAATCTCTACCGGAAAGTCAAATTAAATTTTTATGAGCGTTTGAAATTCAAATTTTTACAACATTGGATATTCACTCGATTTCTCATGTGGCAATTTCCTTTTTTTGTTGTAATTAAAAAACGAATTACTGTAAATACATGAAAATTTCACTGAATGTTTATATTAGCATTTCCTATACACCATACAATTTTGAAAATATTTTGACTCTTTTTGAGCCGTTTACGGACATTTTCAGTTTTCAATTTTTTTAGTTTTTTTTTTCTATAAATATCAATTAAGTTTTATCTGTTGGGCCAAAAAGTGTAAAAATTTAATACAAGGCTCCTGATATATTGTTACAATATCAGTTGAAAAATATTAAAAATACATAGGCACAATTTTTTTTATAAGCATTTTAACATCGAATTTTGACAGAATTTTTCAAAATCTCGAAAATTATTAATCATCGTAATTAATAAATTATAAAATGTTCAGTTTTTATAGCTAAGGATTGAAAATTTAAAACAAGATTCCACGTAAGTAGTTAATTCTCTTACCGAAAAATCTAAAAAATATACAATCACAGTTTATTTTTATAGTCATTTTATGTTCAAATTTGGACGAAATTACATATTAAAAAACCTAGTTATTTTGTTGTGATTATATAATATTATTCGTGGGTACCTACTTGAAACTTCTAAAGTGTACTATTATATATATATGATAGTATCAGGGTTTGTTGTTGGTGTATAACGTGTTATAAGTACCTAATGGATATTGTGATATGATTAATTTGGAATTTATTTTAGGTCAATTTTTTTTTAATACCATAGATATGTATATAATTTGTCTTAAACCTAGACTAACATACCGTCTTCGCTCAGAATCGTTTTTCTTATACAATGATATTGTATCATTGAATTCAAATTTAAAAGCATCCATTATACAGTGACCCACTTGTAACCTACTGTACAGCAGAGCGACATCCACTTACCCACCTTTTTTTCTATGAATATCAATAAAAAATTTTTTGTTGGGTAAAAAGCGTGAAAATTTAACTCAAGGCTCCTGATATATTGTAACAATATTAGTTGAAAAATATTAAAAATACATAGGCACAATTTTTTCTTATAATCATTTAAAGTTCGAATTTTGACAACATTTATCAAATTTAAAATATAATAAATATTTTGTAATTAAAAATGTATAAAATGTTCAACTTTCATAGTTAAGGATTAAAATTTTAAAACAATGGTCCACGTAAATAGGTAAATATATAAATTACTTTATTCACAATAATATCATCAAATATACTTAGTAATATCATAGGCTGACTGACCATTTTCGCTTAAAATCGTTTTTCTTATACAATGATATTATATCATTGAATTCAAATTTTACACCATCCATTACAGTGACCCACTTGTTACCTACTGTACAGCAGGGCGACATCCACTTACCAACTTTTTGTTTATTGTGTGACTATGTTGATAATTTTGTTCAGCCCCTCCCGAAATAAAATTCTGGATACGCGCCTGTATATATATATATATATTATATACATATACATATTGTATATATTTTGTAGATATTACATATTTTCCTTAAAAAAATGGTTGTCTTAATTCAATGTAATAACTATTATTCATTTTTTAACTAATTAATACAAATTGTCTTCTTTTTTTTCTAACTATTAGATTTGTTATATTTTGATAACACCCAAAAATTATCAAAAATTGGAAAAATATAAGACCCATTTATTGAATATTGGTAATTTGATTTTTCTAACCAATATTTGAGGTGGGTGGGTGGTGGGTCATTAGAAATATTTTCAGCAACACATATTTTTTCGAGGATAGCCGCCACTGGTAGAGATGACAGTTTTTCCCGGATTATTTTGATGAATTCAAACGAATAATTATTAATAGATATTATACAAATCCTGATTTACGAAATTCTTATAGCGCTCATACCTACGGCGAATTATTGACGAAACATCGAAGAACACGATAAATTTACCGAAATTTAAAATTAAGTCCAAAAAACCGAACAAAAATTCATACCCATCTGTTTTAAATTCAAATCGTATTTAAACAATTACTACTTCGCATGCGCCAGACGTGCTTACTATAGTGTGTCAACTATTATTATTTTATCACTATATGTGACAATTATTATTAATTTAATTTAAAATCGTATATCGATTCCTTTGAATGGTATAGTGTTTATGTAAAGTATATAGCTCAAAATGAACCAAATATTTTTAAAATTTTGTAATATATAAACAGGTTGGTGAAAATTTAGAGTATTTAAGGTATATACTATATAGTATATACGGTTATTAGTTTTCGAGTTGCGCAGAAAATAACGCAAAATCGATATTGTTCAAAAACTGGTGTTTCGCAGAGATGACAGTTTTTCCCGGATTATTTTGATGAATTCAAACGAATAATTATTAATAGATATTATACAAAACCTGATTTACGAAATTCTTACCGTGCTCATACCTACGGCGAATTATTGACGAAACATCGAGGAACACGATAAATTTACCAAAATTTAAAATTAAGTCCAAAAAACCGAAGAAAAATTCATACTCATCTGTTTTAAATTCAAATCGTATTTAAACATTTACTACTTCGCATGCGCCAGACGCGCTTACTATATAGTGAGTCAACTATTGTCAACTGTATGTGACAATTATTAATTCAATTTAATATTCGTCGTACCTATATCGATTCCTTTGATCTTCTTCGTATTGTCGTAGTTCAAGTCGAACAGATCTTCGATCCACAGCAAATAGTTGAGTCGTAACGGGACGGTGGGCACCAGTCTGCCGACGGGCAATTCCACGTCCAAGTCGAAGTCTTTCTTCAGCAGTATAGTGGTCAACAATCTGAGGCCGTCCTGATTTTTGAAGTCGAAGACGATTTTGCCGTTCAAACCCTGCGAAACGAATCGTCAGGAGACAACACCGAATACAGGAGACAAAAAAAAAATTTTTTTATTGTTAATCGTGATTGATTAATTAATTGGAATTTTGGAAAAAAAAAAAACCGAGGTGTACTCACGACTGACGCGTATTTGTTGAACTCCGGATACGTTACCGCCAGCTCCTTGAAAGCAGGTGGTTTCCGGTAAATATTTCTCGGGTGCATGAACTGGTTGTTGGGCATCGTCGGCACTCGATAATTACTATTATTCTGGTGGTGGTGAGCAGCCGCGGGTAAGCGGGGATCGGATTAATTGCGAGAAAAAAAAAAATGTAAATATTATTATCGATCGACGAGCGCGTTCGCCGCGGCACGAGACGATAAAAATTACTCCGTCTACGACGATAACGAAAAGATTTCAAACGTTAAATCTCGAGCATAAACGGTCAAATCCGATGTCATCGACCGTCGACATTTCAGTCATCAGCTCACGACGACCACTCATTAGACGCCCAAAAATTTAATAATAATGACGAACTCGCACGCACGAGCTGGTCTGTAAATATTTACGTTTGTGTGCGGAACAACAGTGCTGCGCGTGCGCAATGCGTCTGTTGCGATTACTCCAAAGTCGTTGCAAATCGCAAACAAACAAACAAAGGCTCTATTAATAATAATAATAATATGTCAATTGTAAACCATATATAATCATAACGATATTGTATTGTCATGAGGAAAAACGGCTACGATCTGATCGTATTAAATGTGCTGTAATTAATTATAATAATATAATATTATTGTAAAATCAATGCATATGTAAATTCTGTGTTATCAATGATCGAGTGATCATCGTTGCACGTCGGAGTTTTTGTCCTATGGGACAAGTGACCCAAAACATTTTATCAGACAACCGTGATAAGCGTAGTCGCAGACTGTATGACAACAAATATTATGTTCTGACGTTCTGTGTAGTCTGTGCTATAGTGACTAAAATTTTTTCATTTTTGTCTATCTTCGGTGTAATTCTCTACTGTTACAATAGTTTATAACAGTTTATAGAAATATGGCGTCTTCACAAGGAAAACATATGCCCAAAGACACTCAAATCATTGTGTCGATTATGAAAGATTTGGGTATTGTTGAATACGATCAACAAGTCTTAAATCATCTCTTGGAGTTTAACTACAGTAATTATTAATGCAATGAAACAAATGTGTTGTCTCTCGCTGTTATTATGAATAGTGTGTGTTTTGTTTTTCAGGATACACAACGCTACTGTTGGACGATGCCAAGACATTTTCAAACTTTGCGAAAAAGAAGAATGTTGATGCCGACGATGTGAAAATTGCAATACAACTGGCTCAAGACGGAATATTCTGTCGACCTCCTCCACGCGATGTAAGATCATTTTGGCTAAAATCAATTGCCAAAATCAATTTTTTAAATTTAATTATCTAGGTATATTAGATTTTAACACCGTGCAACAAAAGATGTTGAATGACGACCAAAGAATTTACCATTACTTACAAAAATTAATGTGTAACTTTATTCCATTTTATTCAATGTTATATATTTTTTAGTTTTAATTACAACTAAAGATAAGATGTAAGAGTTTATAACCGGCTGTTTTAATTTTTAGGTGTTAATGACAGCAAGTCGTGATTTAAACAAAATACCTTTACCTCCAGTAAGGCCTGCCAGTGGACTGCGAATTCCTCACGATCGTTCAAATTTCTTACAGACAAACTACAGGCTTAGAAATGATTTGGTAATAGTTCAATAGTATATCCTAAAAAATTTCTTTGTTAATTGTGTATTGTATACATTTTTCAATCTCATTCATTAGTAATTTGCTAGTAGGCTATTTTATTAATAATAAAATAAGTTACAATTTCTTTTACATCACATAATTTAGGTAAATGGCAAAAAGTGTTGCGTTTTTTACCTAATGATTTCTATTTCTAACACAATCTTAACAGAGTGTTTTTATTAGAAAATCAGTTATTAATTTTATGTTGTTGAGTGGTAGTATACATTTGTAAAACCCTTAGATCATAATATACAATAGATGCTCCCATTTTAATCATTTTCCGTGTCTAACGTAACCCCCTACTTGTTAATTATTTTATAGTGCTTAATGACGCAACGCATGCACAATAATAAGTTGGTCCCTCAAGGGCGTCTTCCGGTTAATTCTATGGGAGGGGAGGGGGCTAAAAAATGTTATTCTTAAATACCACTTTGGTGAACAAAATATTTAAACCTATATGTTTGATGTAATATCGTACAAAAACAGAAAATTACTCGTCTTAAAGGGGTGGCGATCTCCCCCCCTCAAGGACTCGCCTGTGGTCTCTGAAATTAAATGGGTGGTGGGTGGTTATGTTGGACACACCTCGGTATATTAGAAATACACTTATAGCTCCGTCCATCATAATGTGATCTAAGGTAATGAAATTGATTATAATACTATTTATAATCAATGGTAATACTAATAGACCTGCTTTTTGTACACTGAGCAGTCAATGCAGTATTATTTATACTTAAATTAATATTTTTAATGTTTTGATGTATAGTATTCTGGAGGCAATATGCGTAAAGACACTAAAACAACAGCTGCAGAAATGTTGGAGGCGTCTAGAAAATTAGAAGTTGAAGATAGTCCCTTCCAGCAATGTAAGTAAATTTATCTTATTAATTTTATTTAAGAGGACATTATACAGGCATTTCTTGTCTCTATCTTACAAGTGTGTAACATAGTAAATTTTATATTCAGCAAATTACGGCTCCATTAGTTTATACATTAGAGTGAATTGTCTACTAATAAAATTTTAAGGTAAGATCATGTATTAATCTAAGGCATAATAGGCTTTTTATTATATGTATTTTAATTTTAAAGCAAGTTATGAGTATTTTAAAATTGTAAATTGTTTGTAAATCATTATATACTCATAACTCGCTCTAAAATTAAAATATAATAAAAACCTATGAGATGTCCCAGATAATATTCTTACTTTTAAATATTATTAGAGGTCAATTCACTTTAATTTTATACTAACGTAGCTAAACGTGATCTGCTGAGGGTACAATTTGGTATGTTATGCACTTGTAAGAGGGGAACAACAAATGCCTGTATAACGTCCTCCTAATTATTTCATTTTGGTTCTTCTGAATTGTATGTCATAATTTAAATTTATATATCAAATATCATAAAAAATTATATGACCCAGGTAGTTTACCAAAATGTTCATGCATTTAATAATAAAACATAATAACATTTGCAATTCCTAACATACATCTTCCTTAACAAATATCTAAACAAATTTCTTATCTATTTTATCTAATTACTCATCTGTCCAGTATCATTATATTTTTTGGTACTGTGAATTGAATAAATATAATTATAACATTTAGCATGATAATTTGTTCATTTAAATTCTCAAATTTGTCTGTTTCCAAATAGCAACAATATTTTATAATCCGTTCCATGATAGAAGATACACTTTTTTTGTCGTCAATGATGGACATCTCCCACCACTTTTGACGGTTCGGGTACAATCATCTAATGTTTAGCAGTCGGCAATGACTTGCTCACTGTCAGACAATAAAAAGTGTGAGAAATTTGGTCTTTGTGCTTTCGTCAGCGTCAGTCAGATTCGCAAAACGTGTATCTTCTCTTGTGGAACCGAGTATAGCATATATTTTTTCTAAGTTCATCGTGATTAAATCTGTAATTGTTTAGTACTGTATGTAATAATTTATGTCGCTAAGTTGGTAGTTTATTTTAACAGACCAAATGTAAATATTTCTTAATACATACACATGCCTCAAAATAGAAATATGACACCGGAATAAACTGATATCTTATTCATTGGCAAAAAAAGCTTATTATTTTATATGATCTACAAAATAATATCACCATTTCTTCTTGATGAATCTAGATCTAATTGATTTAATTCAACTTAAAATTCTATCTATTTTGCCATTTTGGTTCTATATTAATGATCCATCTGGTTAGTTAAAAATAATTTCACATTCATTATTTTATTGAATAGAACATTTAAATGATAAGTAATTATTGTAAGTTACCCAAATCTAGTCTATATATTATGTAAAAATTATGACATTTAAATCACAAATAAAAAATAACTTAAAAGGTCATTATTGAGCTTAATATAAATTATATCACAGACAGTGATGACTGATGATTTTGGGTTTGAGTAATATCTGCAATGAAATTGAAATCCAGTAACCAAAAAAAATTATTCAGATATAACATGGACTTTCACATACGTGTGACTAGACTTCATCGGCAGGGGCAGCCTAGCTAATGATAGGCGCTACCTTATTAGTGAACCGAGAAAAGCCCTACACACCCAAAGCCGTATTTTTTAAGCCCCCCCCCCTCCACAATGAAATATTTATATTATTTAAAAAAGAAGTCTAAATTATTTATTTACAATAATAATCTACAGTAACTTCAAAAATATTATTCATCTACGACCTTGGATTACACCACCTAGCTACAAATCAAACACAATACAACAATAATATCAATAATACCTAGATGCGTACCGTACCATCGTCTTCTGTCGCAAGTGTTTATAGTAGTTTTTTTCTATTTCCGAAGTCAGAAAATCAATTTGACAATACATGTTAAATAAAGATATTATCTACCTAATTTTGTTGAACATATCTTTGTAAATAAACAGTAATTATAACGATACACACAAAAAAATCAAGTTTAAAAAAAAATAAATAAATGTTGTGACCTTTCTGATTTAAAACTCTATTGACCGGCACCTTTCAAAAAGTGCAGGGCAGCCCAGACACCCTAGCTGTAGACACGTTTTTGGACTTTCAACATTATTATTGTTTGTTACTAATTCTAATTTATAATATTAAAATTAAAATACCACCTATATAAATATTTCTAAAATTGTAATTATATATATTAAACATTTTTTCTTAAATGATTTCGATAGCGTAATCAGGAGTCTGTTTAGGAGATTTCCACTGTATTTATAAAAATAAATAATGAACACCCACTTAAAATTTTCAAATATTAAAGTGTTTGCTTTATACATATTTTATTTAATATACCATACTAGATAGGTTCAACAAATCAAATTATTTGTTTTATCACATAGTGACATGCAATTTAGATGGATCTGTTTTGAACATATCAACTAATTATTAAGCTTAAACCATGAATTTATTATTCTTTATTTTTAATAAAAACTTTCATATTTTCAATAGCTAGTCAATTGATGGACAGTCCAATGGAGTTTGATTTGCAAGAAATGATTGAAAATCGTCAAAGCAGTCAAGAAAGCATTGGAGAAAATGATAAAGATGAACTTATGGAGGCTCAGTCATATCAAAACCGCTCATTCTCTGATATTGCGCTCGATGATTCTGTCGAAAAACAACTTAGTGATATGTAATTGGTCAGGGATAACATAATAAAAATAAAAATTCTATAAAATAGTATCATCCCTCATTTATTCAATGTTTTACTTTTCATTTTTCTTTAGTCTATAGTTAAAAGTTTATTAACACATTGACTGCCATGTGACTATAGTATATACAAATTTCAAATTTGGAATGACATGGAAAAATATGTTTAGTGTACCAATAATAAATATTATGTGACATGGTATTCAACGTGTTACAACTAATAATAAATGAATCAAGTATAAGTTAATCATTTTTAAGTCAGGGTTTGATGTAATACAGCTTTATACAGGCATTATAAAATTATGATGATGAATAATTCTATGATACAAACTTAATCGGTATATTATTATTTATTATCTATGTCTTATGAATTAAGTACTTGATAAATATAGTATAAGTTATTATTTTTTTTATACTTTTACAATTCTCAACTTATAGTACTTAATACTATGGTCAATTTTAGTTTCTATGTATTTGTTATACAGTTTACTATTTTACTTTATATAATAATCACATTAATATTTAGTTAAGTTAAATATGTGAGGCTTACCATGGTTGTATCATGTATGGTTATATCTCGAATAATTTACAAATCTATAGGATAGTATAATAACCAGAATCTGTTTATTATTTCATGACTTTATCAGTCAACTTACACAACTATTTTATCAATACAGTATTTTTTTTTTCTACTTAAAATATTAACACAATTTATTGAAGTTTTATAACTAGTTATCAAAAGTCACCCTATATGGACACCGGGAAATTATATTCAAAGCCTTAACTCGTCCTTTCCACGTCATCAAGACAAGATAAGATGCACATCAGTCACCTGTATATATTATTATTATTTACTCATTTAGAAATAAATTCATATAACGCTCAGTACACGACTGTCAATTACTTCAAAGTGACTTGTGCGCATTAAATGCCTGGGCTATAAATATTAGTTTCTACTTTAATGTCTCCAAATAACATCTTTGTATAGAGGTCGCACTCACTTGGAATTTAAATACTTACTTTGTGGGACCTATCTTGCTATTGAAGATAATACGGTGAAAGATCTTCTAGTTTTCTATGATAGTAACTTAAATGTTCATAACCACATTTATGCGACATGCTGTAAAGCTTTAAAAGCTCTTAGATTTCCAGACGTCTCATTTGGATGTGTTGTCTCCATCTTATACACGTACGACATGGAAAATTTTTGTTTGTTAGTTTCAATATGGTATTGTCAGTTTTGATATCATAGTGAATCGACCTATTATCAAACTTTTAGGTAACAACATTATCTGTGTTCTCTCTTTGGTTTCTTACGATATTTTAATTTTTAAGTGAGTTATGAACATTTTAGAATATGAATGCTTTACATACCCATAACTCACTTATAAATTAAAATATCGTAAAAAACCAACTAGGGAAAACAGATACTCTTCTTACCTAAAAGTTTGATAATAGGTGAATTCACTCTAATGTGAAAACTGACAATACAATATTGAAACTAGCCGACGAACATTTGGTATGTCGTACATGTGTAAGACGGAGACAACACATGCGGATGCGACGTCCTCTTTTGTTTGTGATGAATTTAAGTTGATAACTCCACTAAAAGCTTTATATTGTGCGCTCATCAGATCTATTATTGAATTTTCTGTAATTATATAGAACCCTCACACCCCAAGCAATATGAATCAACTTGAAAGGGTCCAACTTTTTAGATATAAAACCCAAAAAGCCCAAAATAAAGACAAATGTAATGCAATGATTTCATGAGATTTTTTAAAAAAATATACAAATTTTATGGTCCTTTAAAATTGGAAATCGACTTCGTAGAAAACCTAGTTATTTTGCCAAAGAATTCATATATATGAAAATCGGACATTCAGAAGTATGTGTAATTTACACCACTTATTTGTCTTTAACGTACAAAAAATACGTATGTTGCGATCCCCTTAATTATAATTATCAACTTGGGGGAGAAAGGGCTCAAATATTTCTAGCCCCGGCCCTGGTCATGTAGGTATGCATATGTAAGACAAACTGAAATGCACCGTGACCTGAGTCCTGTGATCCAGTGTCCCAACCACAATTTTTTTGTTTTGAATGGCCAATTAACAAGTTTATATCCGTTTCATTTCTTTTTTGATTTACCTACATGCATTTAAATATCACAATAGTAATGTGGACAGTAAATATTAATTATTTTTTTATTTCCTAGGTCGAGGAGACAAAAATGTAATTTAGATTTGCTTACAATTAACATAGTATACTAACTATACTATATTACATCTAAATTCTGCACCGGTGAGAGGGTTGGGTGTCTTCGCTGTAAATCATGTTACAAGTACCCATGAGTAAGCAGCTATACCATATTTTATTAAATAAGTCTATAACTTTAATAAATTATTGATACACATACACATACAATTCTTGTAAAACATAAAATGATATGTTTAGAAAAAAATTGTATTTTATAAGAACGTTGTCGCTGTGTAAAAGAAATATTTTCAAATATACCTAAATGGGGGTGGGTATGCTTGGTGAAATAGTGAATCGTCCTGTTTATATATTTTATATTCATCGATGTCATGATTCGAAATGTCAAATGAGAAATTATGAGTTATTATACTTTTTATAGTTAACACACAAGTAGGTAGGTACTAAAACGAAAATAAAGAGAAAAAGTGTTGCACGGATAGACAAAACCGACAATAATTTATTATTAACATAACTCATTTATTTTAATACATTCAAAAAAGTGAAAAAAGTAAAGATTTTCAATAATTATAACTACATGCATACATTACCTACCTATTTAGAACTCAACGATATTTAAACCGATCATGCCTTGATCAATAATAATAATATTATAGTATTAGTTGCATTTCTTGTCTTAAGCAGCAAATTTTATTTTCTCTAGATCAGTATGAATGGAGACACGGAACATGACCAAAAAGAGTTTGATGAAAAACAAATAATAATTGTTTGAGACGTTGCCCATTACTTAGAGTTCGAAAATATTGGGGGGGGGGGGTCAATACCTAATAATTATAGGTAGTTATAGTAGATAGTTCCACTAACAGTTTCCAAAAATATGTCAACATTAAAGTTACCTAGTACCTACCTGTATAATATTATTATCAACAGTTGGTTATTATATGTACAAACAGATATGCACAAAAATTAAGTAAGTATCTATGTACATAATATGTAAATCAAAATGTAAAAATATAACAAAATGTTGGTGCACTTACGATTGGTCTTTTGTTATACCTACCTACTTTATTTTTATTTTTACATTTTGATATAATATTATATTATTACATTTTAATTACAATATATCAAAATGAAAAAATATTTTTTTAAAAAGTAGTTATATAACAAAAGACAAATCGTAAGTGTACCTACCAACATTTTGTTATATTTTTACATTTTTATATTTTATAATATATAGATATTGTAGTGTGCATATTTGTATATACCTACCTACTTCCAATAAAAAACAGTTGATAATAATATTATACAGGTAGGTGTTCTAGTGGACATTTTTTTTGGAAACTGTTCGTGGAACTATCTACTATGCCTATCCAACTTTGGGTACTACCTATATTTATTAGGTATTGATGCCGGCCAATTTTTTCGAGCTCTAAGAACTGGGCAATTTCTCAATCTCTTAATGTTTATTTTTCATCGAACTCTTTATGGTCATGTCCCGTGTCTAAATTCATACTGATCTAGAGAAAATAAAATTTGCTGCTTAGGACAAGAAATGCTACTAATACTATCAAGGCATGTTCCGTTTCCATATTTTTGAGTCTTAAATAGGTAGGTAACGTAACGCTGTATACATTAATGTACCTATTCTACACGTAATAATATCTAATAATATGTTATAAACATCAACTCTTAATATCATTAATTTTTCATCGACTGTGGAACTATTTTACTTTCTTCATTTTTCATTTTTGGTTCGTCATTTTGTGGCCGTATCCATACGTACCGCGAACCTAAACAAAAATTAAAATATAATATTGCGTGAGATAAGACGTGCTATAATAATAATCAATAAATAAGAGGTGGGTTGGGTTAGGACAATTCCGGACTATTAATTAAGGTGTAGTATAAAAAGTTACAATATAATAATAAATTGTGTCATATTAATACCTCGGGCGACCGAGTTTACAGCCCGGGTTCGAACATTTCTTAAAAAGACCTGTTGGCTGTTGTCTCTTACAGGGGCAATGTTTAGGCAACACCTATGCAATTTCGTTGCCGCCGGCCGTGGAATTTGTGTTAATTAATTAATTAATCTTGACCAAGCTTGTGAAAATCCATCGTATTTTAAATCGTATTTTATGATATTATTTGGTTTATAAAAATAATTTTGAAAATCCAATTCCAATGAGCCTTGTAAGATGTGTTTCGATTTCGATCAAAATCGGATGTTTTCGAGTAAAAAAATAGATCGCGGCCCTCAGGCCCCTTAATGTTAAAACTTAAAAAATAATTCAGTTATTGCCCAAAGTTACTCGGCTCACGTAGCAGGAATGTACATATTGATAACGCATCAAATAGCAACATTATAGAGGTAGCAAAAAACTCGCAATATATCCATCAAAATAGAAGTGAATCCGTTTTGGCAAAACTTAAAAATTTGATAAAAAAAAATTGTTGTTCAAACAACAATGTTCTACAAATTTATTAAATAATTCTAATGATTCTATTTTTTTAGATTTTTTTTCAAAAACGAAGCCGTGGTTCATTCGTGGAAGAATAAAATGAAAATACCTGTTGCCAAGGTCGACGGTGGAACTATTTTGCTTTCTTCATTTTTCATTTTTGGTTCGTCATTTTGTAGCCGTATCCATACGTACCGCGAACCTAAACAAAATATAATATAATATTGCGTGAGATAAGACGTGCTATAATAATAATCAATAAATAAGAGGTGGGTTGGGTTAGGATAATTCCGGACAATTAATTAAGTTGAAATATAAAAAGTTACAATATAATAATAAATTGTGTCATTTTAAGAAGACGCCACACCCGCATGTGTTGTCTCCGTCTTACAAATGTACAACATAGCAAAAACTCTTTTGCGAGGGACAACTTTTCTCCCACCATATTTGTTGTAGAACTACCAAATTTTCACAGCACTTAAAGAAGAACTTTATCTGTGCAACAGCTTGCTCTTTTTTTCAATAGAACCATCCAATCATTTTTTATAAGCAAATTAAAAAACCAAATGTTTAGAAGCAAATAACTTGTATTGTATATATGTTATTGAAAAAAGGAGCACGCCGTTGCACAGATAAAGTTCTTCTTTAAGTGCTGTGAAAATTTGGTAGTTCTACAACAAATATGGTGCGAGAAAAGTTGTCCCTCGCAAAAGAGTTTTTGCTATGTTGTACATTTGTAAGACGGAGACAACACATGCGGGTGTCCTCTTAATACCTCGGGCGACCGAGTTTACAGCTCGGGTTCTTACAGGGGCAATGTTTAGGCAACAACTATGCAATTTCGTTGCCGCCGGCCGTGGAATTTGTGTTAATTAATTAATTAATTTTGAGCAAGCTTTTGATCATATTTTAAATCGTATATGATGATGCCTAACCTGTGCCCCTAAATAATTTCGACCATAACTCGAGGACACGAATTTTCTAGGGACGAGACCTATTCGCACCGATGAATTCCTTTCATCGAAAACCTCCAGTAATTCAGACACGGAATTCTGACGTTATCCTCGAGGAGAAAACATTATTGTTGCCGTTTAATTCTATAGGACATTATATCGTATTATAAATATTACTTTTTCGACGGTACACCTCCCTTTGAGTTTTGATCAAATTTTCTCTCATGTTGTGTACCATTTCGGTCAGGTTCATAAACTTTTGGGAAAGACTTGTGAACTCATCATTAATGGCCACCAAAGGTTGGCTGAAGGTCGAGTTCGACGATTCGACATCTTTCAACGGTTTGTTCCTCGCCAATTTATACGGTGAACCTAGAAAAAATATAAAATAATAAATACTGCGTAAGACAATTAATGCCAATCCGCAGAATTATTATATCCGACTAATGCAATAACTTTTGCAATAATTATTAATTTTTTAATTTTTTGTTTTATATATTATTTTATTATAATTTATAAACACTCTCTCCAAGTTTATTTTGTGCCTAATTTGCAAATTTAATATTACGAGAACATTTTTTTTTTGGTAAAAGTCAAAGTCAAGTAGGTAGTTTGTTTTTTTAGAATTTTTTTTAAAATATCAATATTATTTCGGACTGAATTTCTTTTTAAAACGTATAAACTTTGTTCAAAATATTATTTTTGGTATGACGTGAGAACCTATACATATTTCTTAAATTATTTATTATCCATGTAATTTTTACAATTTAAATTTCATACGTTTAACTAGCATACATTTTTTTCAGATCTTTCTGTTACACCTTGTATAGGTTTTACAACAGTGCACTTTGTATACAATATATTATAATTCCACAAACTAAAATTTGCACTGAAAAGTAACAACGGGTGTTGTTATTGTAAATATTTAATAATAATAACAATTATCGTCAAGGTTATTAATTTATAATTATTATTTTTTAGATTCTGAGTGGAGCGAAAGAATATTATATTGGTTTTACAATAATGTGTGTTTTATATTTTTCTGTCTGTCAGCAACATTTCGGATAGTAAGTATGCTTGGATTTTTGAGATCAGCATCTTTGCTAATAGAAAAGTGAACGTATAGTTGGTATTTTTGGGAGATCAAAATTAAAAATTCCGAGTAGTTTTAGAAAGCTTATAGAAATTACGAAAAACCTCTAAAAATAGGATTTTTCATTTCTAACGATTTGTGTATCACCATAATAAATAATAATATCATAAGAGCTACACAACCTCTCAGAATCGTTTTTCGTACACAATGGTTTACCATTGTATTCAAATATAACACATCCATTACATCTACAATCTACTGTACAGCAAAGAGGTACGCACTTATACACCTATTTTTACTTTACAGTTCACACATTTTGAATATATATTTAATAAATAATCATTTCATTATATCATTTCATCATTTCAATATTTAGAATATAATATTTAAATTGTAAAAAAGAAAATAATATTTAAAATGTTAGTATTAGACTATATATTATAAGACGTGTTTGTTTTAAATTGGAATATTCGAACGTTCTTAGATATTATTTAGAGTCATTAAGTAAATACCTACCATACTAAAATTCACGCGTGAACAAAATTGTTAAAATTATTTTATATCATTAAATAAATTCAACAAAATTCCAATACAATTCCGAAAATGGCACTTACAATTTTGAGACTTAAATTCGTACTTAGGTAGGTACATAATATTATCATCAAACGCATTTAAAAGTTACTAGCAATATATTGGAACAAAAGAAGAAAAATATTCGTACCTCAATAAACAACATCCGTACCTCAATTATTATTATGCCTATAATATTATCATATTTTAATATAGGTTTACAGATGATAACGATTTCCGACTTAATTACGTTGTAATATAATGTGGAAATGATGTACAATATTATAATATTAAATTGCAGGTAGGTATATTATAAAATATTATACTTTTTTGACGATATAGTTTAATGGTCGATTTGATCATATTTTCATTCATTTTGTTCGCCGTTTTCTTGGCACTTATACATTTTTGAAACTCGTTCGTTCGTGCGTCCATATTTTCAAAAAAACGGTTGTAAGTAAATACTTGCAGCTATAGTGTCAAAAACTCAAATATTTCTTACGGAGAAATTGCAGATTAATGGCCTTTATTCAATAAATAAACTAATCGGGTTGCTATAAGAAATGCAAAATTAATACCTAGTTGTTATGGGTGCGCGTAAAATTAAATAAATAATAAGGTAAAAACCGTTGCCCCTTAAAATATGTACCAACTCTATATGACTCAAACTTTGTTCAATTCGTCATTTAATATTCGTTGTATGGTGTTTAAAATTTACCTTAACTTTTCCGTTGCCCGGAATAAAAAGTCCGATTCGTAGCAGTATATTATCAGGTAGGCAATCTACCTTCGGTAGATCGCGGACCCCTGGTTTGTATGTAAGTGTATGATTTAACTCTAAAGTATGAAAGTTATATCAAGTTTGTCGTATTCTACCTATGGTGGATGAATATAATCAATTAATACAAAATCCTAACCTAACCTGTTGCATCTCTGTTGTATTTTTGACATCCAGATTTCCTACTTTTCCGGTGGATTTTCCTAAAATTTTGTTTCATAATAACCTTCTCTGTGATATACTCTTTCGTTTAAAAAAAATCAAGAAGATCTGATAAGTACCTAGTTTCAGAGTTGACCCAATATTTTGTCGTTTTGGTCGTGGCATTTTTTAACACCTAAATCCATACAATTGAAATTGAATAAAAATCAATCTCGTTTAATCTCAAACCAATTAATATTTATCTAGAAAATAGAATTGTGGTTGTCATGTCAACAGACGTTTTTTTTCATTTTTCATACATTTTGTTGTTGTTTTTGGTCATGTCGCCAGGTGTGCACTTATGAGGCCATAACTCCGGAACCATTTATCGCAAAGCGTACAAACTTCACAGAAACCATCTACATATCAATCTTAATATGCCCTGAAATTTTTATCGAAATCGGTTTTGAGCTATAAGATTTATTCAAAATGTACACTTATTTTTATATATATAGATATAGGTACTCGATAAATACACAGAAATTGAATTTATTTTTAATCTAAAAACTCATGTTATTGCTGGAAAGAAAAATAAAACGTCTCCTTCTTAGTGACACACTCCAAAAACATTCTCAACAGTCCGACAAAATATGATTTCCAAGGGGGATTTAAACATAATATTATCATATGTACATACTTAATTAAAGACATTTTTAGGTATTAATCGAACGAAAAATAAGTTGGTGAACATTTTATAAGAGTGCACTTATTATTTCTAAACGCAACAACAAAAATAATAACATTTGTTACAGACATTTTCGTAAAAATAAATTGCAAAACTTGTACGGTACTTACCTGTAGCTGTAACATGTATATACCTAAATGAAGTTTTTTCTGTTACATCACTGTTTTTTCTTAGTACTATACCATAGGCACAAGTCTCAGGGGGGCTAAATATACAGTTTTTTAGTCGTGTGGGATCGAAGCCCCCCGCTCACGTTGAAATAAAAAATGTTAGCCCGTCACCCACCACTGAAATTTTAAACGATTTCCGCCTCTGTACTATACACTAATTAGCAAGGCTGGGCATTAACGAGTTAATAAGTTAAAGTTAAGTTAAAAAGTTAAGTTTCTTTTAACTAAGTTATATAAAGAGTTACTTTTTTTTTTAGAAGTAACTTCTAACTTAACGATTTACATTTTCCCCATGTTATTCAGTAACTTAACGAGTTAATTAATTGTATTGGCACGTTAAGTTAATTTTTTCCCAAACCACATATTATTTAAAATTAATTCAATTTTGTAAAATTAATTACATAAAAAAAAACCCGAAATATTAAATATATTTTATTAAATAATAATTTATAATAATAGTAAGTTTTTATATTGCATATTCACAGAAAATATTTTATAACTATATTATAGAGGGAAATATCATAGGGGTAACCGCATCAAAGAAAAATATAACAATTTACTCAGTACCTAACCTATACTTAATCATTATTAATATCATTACATATTATTAAGTAAATTTTTATTCATTCATAGAATTACGATGATAACTTGGCCCGTCGATGTAAATAATACCCGTAGTAGTGTGGTATTTACTATTTACCTAATTAAAGTATAATACACAAAATTAATATAAGTACCTACAGTAACTAATTTTATTACAAACATTTATTCAAATATTGTAAGACATTTTTTGATTTACTGAATTATTATGTTATTTGTTAGATTTAAAAAAGGTAGGTAGGTAGGTATAATTGTTAATTTTATTTAAAAAAAAAAAAGTAACTTATTTTTAACTAAGTTAAGTTACTTTTATTTTCTAATTAACTTGTAACTTTTACAAGTTAAAAAAAAATGAAGTTAACTTTTAACTTTAAGCTTAACTTACATTTTTCTATATTAACTTAACTTAACGAGTTAAAAAAAGTAGTTAACTTGCCCAGCCTTGCTAATTAGTATAGGGCTTATTGGGGCTTCTAGTTCTTTAATATTTTTACAGAGAGGTCGTAGAATAATAAAATTGCGTGTTACTGATGTATAATAGAAAGAGGTTAGGTACCTATTATATTATCAATAATTAAAATTTAAAAATGTGTATTTTACATCCTTTTGCATACCTATTATTTCGTTGTTATTGCATATAATTACATGCATATTTGAGTAGGTATATTATTAGATAATTCACTGTTTGACTAATACTGCGACGCCTTCAGTTCAAAAAATCAATTCGTTTTTCATGTATTTATTGATTTATTAAAACATCAAATTTCGTATAAATATAATAATTTAGCTACTTATTACTGTTTGAAAGTTTAAATTTATTATAAATATATAAATAATATATTATAGTCAAGAGTGTATATCCCGCCCCTTTCAAAAAGGCTGAACACGAAACTGTTGCAGCCCATTGAAACAATGAATTTACTCATCACTTCATATTATAATATATACTTCACTCGGCGGTTCCGAGTTGCGTGCGAAAATCGTTTTCTGGGTCGAATTGCGTGCGTGATTTTTTCATAACAGGGTTGAGTTGCGTGCGCGGTTTTTTTGTGACAGAGCAGAGTTGCGTACGAGATACAGTGTTGATGCCGCACGGTGTGCAGATTTATTTACACTAAATAATTAAAGAATACATTTACTCTTCGAATACAAATTATTAAAACAATATTAATTCAAGTGATAATACAATAAAATTATTAGGTATCTCGTAAAAACGATTATATTTAAATATTTTATATGAGTAGCAAAAAATATAATTTAAAATTACAGTCAAAATATTATAAAAATAAGAAAAAATATAAATAAAAAATAAAAAAAGTGGGTGTCGCTCTGCTGTACAGTAGGTTAGAAGTGGGTCACTGTATAATGGATGGTATTAAATTTGAATTCAATGATATAATATCATTGTATAAGAAAAACGATTCTGAGCGGTGACGGTATGTCAGTCTATGTATAAGACATATTATATACATATCTATGGTATTAAACAAAAATTGACCTATAATAAATTCCAAACTAATCATATCACAATATCCATTAGATACTTATAACGCGTTATACATCAACAAAAACCGTGATACTATCATAGATATATAATAGTACACTTTAGAAGTTTCAAGTACCCACGAATAATATTATTCAATCACAACAAAATAACTAAAATCGTAATTCTTGGTTTAAATATGAAATTTTGTTTAAATTTGAAATTAAAATGTCTGTAAAAAATAAGTGTGTTTATATATTTTTTAGATTTTTTATTATGTAGTATGAATTATTTAAGAGAATCTTTGTTTTAAATTTTCAACTCTTAGTTATAAAAACTGAACATTTTATAATTTTTTAATTCCAACGATTGATAATTTTCGAGATTTTGATAAATTTTGTCAAAATTCCAACTTTAAATGCTTATAAAAAAAAATCGTGCCTATGTATTTTTAATATTTTTCAACTGCTATTGTAACAATATATCAGGAGCCTTGTATTAAATTTTTACACTTTTTGGCCCAACAGATAAAATTTTATTGACAATTATAAAAAAAAAAACTAAAAAAATTGAAAACTGAAAATGTCCCTAAACAGCTCAAAAAGAGTCAAAATATTTTCAAAATTGTATGATGTATAGAAAATGCTAATTTAAACATTCAGTGAAATTTTCATGTATCTACAGTTGTTCGTTTTTGAATTACAACAAAATAAGGAAATCGCTACATGAGAAATCGAGTGAATATCCAATGTTGTAAAAATTTTAATTTCAAACGCTCATAAAAATTTAACTTGACTGTCCGGTAGAGATTTTTTTATTGATAAAGGTAGATAATCTTATAAGGAATCTTGTGTTTCATTTTCAAATCTTAGATTTAAAAAGAAAAATTTTTACGAATTCTTAACTCAAAATAATTTGCTAATTTTCGTGATTTTTCCATATTTTGTAAATTTTTGAACTTTAAATGCTTATAAAAAAAAATTGTGACTAAGGATTTTTAATATTTTTCATTCGCCTTTGAAACAACATATTAGGAGCCTTCTATTAAATTTTCAAGCTTTCGCAACCAACAAATAAAATTTTATTGATATTTTTAGAAAAAAAACTAAAAAAAATGGAAAATGAAAATGTCCCTAAACAGTTCAAAATAAATCAAAATATTTTGAAAATGTTATCGTGTATAGAAAATGCAAATATAAACAACCAGTGAAAATTTCATGTATATACGTTCATTTGTTTTAGAGTTACACCAATAACCAAAATAAGAAATAAGAGAAATAATTTTTAACTATAAGCAAAGGGAGGTCGTCAATTGTTTGAGTAGTTGTGTTTAATAATGCTCTTAAACACAATAATTACCAGGTAAAATCTGGAGAAATGTCATCAATATATTATAAATTAAGAAAGTTTATTGAAGTCATAGCGATTTCATTTTCATTCAATTTTGCCAACATTGTAATTTGTGGTTAATACAAAATTATAATTCTCTGTTAGGTACTTATTTAAGTTCTTGAAACC